GGGACACCATGAAACCTAGAAATTTGCCGGACTCCACTCCGAAAATGCACTTGGCTGGATTTAACCGCATCCTGTTCTTTCTGAGGTTGTTAAAGGTTTCGCCGAGGTCGGCGAGATGGTCTTCTGCTTTGAGGCTCTTTACCACAATGTCATCGACATATACTTCCAGATTTTTGCCAATCTGAGCGTGGAAGACAATGGTCACCATTTTCTGATAAGTAGCACCTGCATTCTTTAAGCCAAACGGCATCATGACATAACAATAAATTTCATCACCAGCATAGAACGCGGTTTTCTCTTCGTCTTCTGGAGCCATTGGCACCTGGTGATACCCCGAGTATGCGTCCAAAAGGCTCAACCTCTCATTGCCTGAAGCCGCTTCAACTAGTTTGTCAATGCTCGGCATTGGATAGTAATCCTTGGGGCAAGCGTTGTTAAGATTTGTGTAATCAATACACATTCGCCATTTGCCATTGGCCTTCTTCACCAAAACTGGGTTAGCCACCCATTCACAGTAATCAACTTTCCGGACAAAACCAGCTTGCAGGAGTTTCTCTACCTCTTCTTTAACAGCCTGAAGCCTCTCCCCCCCGAAGAGACGCCGCTTCTGGGCCACTGGTTTCTTCAACGGGTTGGTACTGAGCTTATGTTGATATACTGAAGTTGGGATTCCTGGCATATCTGCCGAAGTCCACGCAAATACATCATTGTTAGCTCGGAGAAAAGCTATCAGTTCTGCCCTCTCCTTCGGGTTCAATCTAGTTCCGATCTGCGTTTTTCGTCTCGGATCTCTGTCATCAACGAGCACTTCTTCAACATCTTCGACCGGAGCAGCTCTGGTTTCATCTTCTGGTCGATTATCTATGATCTCAACACCCATAACTTGCTGATTATCAGAAATTTGCTTGGGAATGGCTTCGGGAGTCTGAGCTTTGTCCTTCATGGGTTGTGTTACCGAGGTGATGTAACAGTGTCTGGCCACCTCCTGGTTTCCTCGCAATGTTGCTATTCCCATAAGGGTGGGGAATTTCATGCAGAGGTGAGATTGGGAAACCACAGCTCGGATTTCGGTCAATGTGGGTCGACCAATAACAATGTTGAAAGAGGACGCCATTTTGACGACTAGGAACCGGACCGACTGGGTTACATAGGTTCTGCCACTTCCAAAAGCCACATGGAGAGTAAGAACTCCTTCTACCGGAACAGGCTGGTTGTTGAAACCATAGATAGGACCATCATACTTCTGTAACAGAGCTGGATCTAATCCCAGACTCTC